ATGACCTTCTGACTCTCCCACATAACCTTTGACCTTCTCTTTGACAGCTTGATTAATTACCCTGTGTTATGATTTATGAGTAAGTGCTATGTAAAAATAATAGACAACAGGTGGTCCTCTAAAAACTTTTTGTGGCACGTTTTCTTTTCCTGCCTAACCTGATGAGCCATTTTAAGTTGGGAACTTAGTGGGACAGTTTGTGTTTGGCAGAAACACAGCATTTTTACACACTTGAATGTAGTGCTGGAATTCAGGCGGCCAAGGTATATCTGGGATGAAAACATTGCAGTGTTAGCAGGGTGCAGATGCCAAAATGTACATTGGGTGGAAACAGAAAGCAGAGTCAACTGACATTTCAGGCGTTTCAGTCGCAGGTCACGTCTTGAGAAAATTGCTCAAATAATGGAGGGGGCATTTTTCAAGCTGAGCTGCATCTCCAACAGCTATGTTTACTTTAACGCTTCACTAGTGACTTCTGATTGGTTGTCATGACCTCATCCTGCTGTTGCACCTACAGTGTTGCAACAGTGACGGAGATGTACCCTTCTTGTGGAAAAGATGGGAAATGAACAGAGCATACATCTTTTGGAAAGATGAATGGACGTTGCTGTGTCCATTTTAACCACAGGCGAGTTTAGGAACAGAGTGCTTTGAGTTGCATTTCCCCTGGGAATTAACTCCAGTCTTGTGCCATCCGTCCAAATAGAAACCTGAACTTGAAAATTCACATTGATAAAGCTTACGAAAATGATCTCTTTCAGACCCTCACTTGCAATCCAAAAAGATAGTCACATAGGTCAAAAGATACCTCTCCAGTTCTGACCTCTCTCATCACATATGGTGTCCTATCCTGCTGGATTAATATGCAGATCTGAATGCTTTCAGCTCATTATTCATGTGGCCAGGCAGGGGAGATTTCGAAAGATTTGTAATTTACCTCAAATACTTTAAGGTTCTTTTTTTTTAACTTTACCTTTGCTGTCAGAGGCAAGAATTTTGGTATTCCTTATGTTTCGAACATCTTGCTTGAACTTCCAGGAAGAGGCAGAACATACTGTTTCATTTCTGGCTTATGTATTATGATGGAGAAGGTCCTTCTTCGTTGTTCTGGCTTAGTAGTAAAGGTATTGTAACTGAAATTCATGATTTTTTCCAATACTTGACTTTGTAAGCCTGCCTTTCCTTCCATCATCACAACCCTCCATCTCCAGAAGCAGCAACCTGGAGGATGCTAGCAGTTAGTGTAGAATAAATTTTGTTTACCTTGAAGCATTAGAATGTGAGGGGGAATAGATGTTAATTGGGTGTTTTAGCCTGAGAGAAAAACTGTAATTTTGTAGATTAGAGGCTAGGAGTTGTATTTGTCAGTGTCAGTCCTGATTATGTTTCCACTGGAAACATAGGGGAAAGCTACTGTTATGTACATTGAAAACATACCTAATGTTTGCATAACACCTAATACCACTGATGGTGGCAAGTTTTAGAAACCCTCCTAGATGACTGGTACTTACTTAGGCCAGAGGCTGCTGTATTTTATTAATGATGTAACCTCATCATAGGTGAAGATGGTAATTTTAATTGATTTTTTTAGTATAGATGCACCAACACCAAATCAACAAATAGCAAAGTAATGCACAGTAATGGCATATTTAATACTTTCCAGCATAAAGATACTGTATATGGTGAAATAAGATGAATACAGTTCTTCATGTGAATAGATACTTCTGAGGGGAGCCCCTGGTGGTCTAGAGGGTAAAGGCGCTGCACTGTCACTGCAGAGACCCGGGTTCGATTCCCGGTCGGGGCCCCTCCCCGGGCAGATGGAGCTCGTTAGCCCGTAAGGCAATCCATCTACGTCCTGAGGACCTCGCTGCCACCGTCCAAGCGTGCTTGGCCCCGGCAGATGAACCTCAGGATTATAGGGTGGGCTCAGTTCCGTGCACACTGTGTCTCACCTAAAAAAAAATCCAACGCGCAGGCTGGAAGGTGTAAAGACCTTCCCCGGTTCTTCGTTCGCGAAGACTGGCCATTACATTTACAGATACTTCTGAACAGGGCTTTAATTTTAAAAGATACTTTTTAATGAAAGTGATTTTTGTCTATAATAACAGTTATGTCAGTTGTGCCAAAGACTATATCTTGCTTATTATTAAAGTTTACTAAAGATTAGTTATTAGTGGTCTGATGTTCTGTTTTGCATTGACTTGCACTCTTCTCAGACTCACTGCATTTGAGCTCTATCTTTATTTTTAATTTTCTTATTGCACTAAACTTCATTGGTGCAGCTGTGCCCATATGAAGTACATTTTTAAAAGATTAGTTGAACTTAAAAGCCATATTGTTTACACTGATGTTATTTAGAGCTGAGCATTTCTTTTCGATAGAAAATGCTGGGCTGAGGCTGAATGAGAGAAGTTGTAATTGGGTGCATTTTAACAGTCATTTTGTTTTTCATGTTTATCTATATATGTTAGTTCCAAGTCATCTTTGTGGTGCCATGTTTCCATGTAGCAGTTTAGGATGAAGAAGTACAAAGGAAAGGGAAATACACTATATTACATAAGAAAAACTGTCTAGAAAGATTACTTTCCTAACAGAAAGACTTAGGCTTTCCCATAATTGAGGAGAAAAAATACATTAACTCAGTTATTACCTAATTATTTTAATTCTACAGATAGGAAAAGCCTGCTGTCTGGGAGAAATTGTAGAAAAATATTAAGGGAGTCATGCTACAGTGCTTAAAAGATATTTGATAAAAATCCTTTAATTGATTTATGAAATAGTGGATTTAAAAATAGAATCATATTTCATCTGTTGATGTCTGTGTGAAAAATTGACATTGTGTCTTCATAAAATTGAACAAATGAGTCATGTAATTTTCAGTTACATAATCAATAACTTAGACAAATTCCACTCTGGTGATTTGTGTGTCTGTGTTGTGGTCAGCTTAAGGTGGACATAGTTTCAAATCTCTGTAACACTTGTACACCTGCAATAAACATATGAATTTTGCATTTGGCATTCTATAGAAAGGAAAACAAATCAATACACAGAATCTCTCTGCTCAAAACAAGCAGGTGAAGAAGATGAAAAGCCACAAAACCACTCACCTGCCAAGTACTGCAAAAACGTCATCCTATACTGGCCATAGCAAGCTCAAAAACTATCCTTTATTCAGAGATGTACAGTTTAGGAATGTTTGTAAGCTGTATTCTCTGAGATGAATTTTGGGCTTTGAAATTTTCCAAGTTGGGAAAGTTTATGTGCTCGTAGTACAGCATTATGTGTTAAAATGGCCTGGCATCCCTGATAGTGGTGTGGATAGATTTTAAATTTTTTCTTGTTTAATTTTCTGTTTTCCTTTAGCGGTTCTCTGTTGTTTGTTTATTTGTTTGCCTGTTTGTTTATATTTATCCCAGCTCAATTCACTCAGCAGGGAGGGCAGAGGAGCGAAGTGACAGGAGACCCGGTTATGGTGCTGTGTCTAGCAAGAAGGCAGTTTTACTCTTTGGCCTATGGTGACCTTTTTTGGCTACGTCCCATACAGCAGAGATAGTGTCCTGAATGCCTCTATTTCACCCTGTTTAGCAGAGTGCAACTGTGCCCTTTAACTTGGTTTTTGGTGGGAGGAGAAGCTATGGCAGACATTCGAGAAGGGCACAAGGACGAGGGGTAGGAACTCCCTTCAGATGTGATTTTGATAACTAGTCGAGTGTGTCCAACTGTAGAAAATCACCAAGTGACAATCTGTCTACCTGACAGTGGCCACAATGAACTACAAGGTTGGTGAATGGCCCTACAGATTAGAATAAAGCAAGCCCAAATAAAGTATCTTTTGTTGGGGTGGACTTGCTTTGCTCTGGGCAGCTAGGTATAGGGGACCTCTTTGATCCTCATGACTAGCCAAAGTGCAAAATGAAGTACCAAGTGAAAAGCTGGAATAAAGCTGTTCTGTTAGATAATTAATATAGACATTTCCAAAAAGCAGATCTTTATTAAAATTTACTTTTAAATGACGGTTTGCTTTTGACTGGGAACCCGTGTTAACTTTAAGGACTCATTTGTTAAGTGCATGTGCTTCTCTTTTCTCCCCCTGTTTGCAGTTATATCTTCCATGAATATTGCAATTTTTCTGTGATTTGCCATCACTTAAAAATCATAAATAGTGGTTGTCTTATTTGTTCAAGATTTATTTTTCGTTCATAAATCCATATATTTTTCAACCAGCTTATTTTCCGAGGCACAAAAATGCAACTCGTATGCTCAAAAGCATCCTGCAGGTCACAAATTTTCTCTGGACTTGTTGAAATACACGACATAATCCCAGTGAACTTTTAGAGCAGATTTAAAGATGCACTAAAAAGTCAGGCCCACCATAAAAGAGTTGACTTCTAAACAATACCACTGAATCAGTTTTGGTATTGATTCATTGTTACTGCTGCTATTTGCTTCTGTATGGTATGCTTGTTGTCAGCTAGACAAAAGGTTTTACTATTTTAAAATGCGGTGAATAATTTTCACATGCTTTCTTTAATCTCTCTCTCTCCTTCTCTCTCTCTCTCTCTATATATATGAAATCTCCCCATCCTTTTTATTTCACAGGTTTTACTGGCTGGGTATAAAGCTTTTTATTCATCATTATGTAGAGTTCTTAAAGCAATATTTTGCTTTTAGTTCCCATATTGTTTTCTGAAAAAGTTATATAAAGTGCTTATGAATAAAACAACATATTAAATTATTTTAAAGGTAAAACAGGCAACTTTTCTGATGTTGAGGGGTGTATATGACCATTAAGTACACGCAGACACATTCACACATCAATATTCCTTTAATGACAGAATATTCTTAAAAATCCTTCGATAAATTATGTTGCGTGAACTTACTGAAATAAATATAAGAGTGTTAAAGAGCATTAAAGTAAATGCAAGGAATTTTCAGGCATTAAATCTCCCTTTTCATATTCCTTCTTTTTGTGTGTGTGTCTCTCTCTTCTTAAACAGGAAGGCTATGGAGTAATAGTTCTGAATCCCAATGAGAACTATATTGAAGTGGAGAAGACAAAAGCCCAAATACAACTGTCTTCTGATTGCTCAGATGAACCTGCAGAAAAGAGGGAAAGAAAAGATAAAATCCAGAAGGAAACAAAGAAGCGACGTGACTTCTACGAAAAGTATCGAAATCCACAAAAAGAAAAAGAAACTATGCAGATCTATATTAGAGTAAGTTTCTTTTGGCTCTGTTTGCCCTTCTTTACTGACGCATACATATGTTTACTGTCCATACTGACTAATAAACATTTTAATTTTTTTTGTTCAAAACAAAACAAAACAAACAAAAAAAACCACACAAAAAAACCCTCCTTACTGATATGGCATTCAAGAATTTATACAGAGTTCCTGGCTCTTTATTCTATTGATATTTTTGGTCACTTATTGAATATGATGTTTTGGAAGTGTTATGAAACATTTCTTTGTAATTTCAAAGGGAAACTTCAAATAAACCCCAGAGGAACTCACTGGTGCTATCAAGAAAGAGAATGGTTTAAGAAAGACTTTGTAACGATGATTTTATAAACAGAGATGTACATACATAAGAAACACTTTGTAGTGAAGCTTAAGCAACATGCTAGCTTCACATGGCATGTATGCATTTACTGTATTTTATTTGCTTATACTGGGGAGACAGTAGTTACAGATTTTTAACATATTACTGGCAGAATTAATAATGTATTGTGGAAAATACCAGTGTTCATCTTGTGTGGTAGCAGATTTATCCTGTAATGGCTTGTTTTCATAGGAGCAGCTATCCATTGTGTTTGAGCTGAATTTCTGAAGGCAGAAAAAGAAGGAAACTTATTAATATCATAATAAATATTTAAGCTAGAATAATTTGAGAATCGTATCATGAAGAAACTCTGTCTCTTGCCCTTTTCTGACTCAATGAACCTTTGCACTTTGTAATGCTAGCAGCATGGGATCGTTATAACAGTGCTACCCCAGGATTTCTAGTTCTGCAGGGGGCACAAACAATATTATTTGCACTTTGACACATTCTGCTTCATATACATACTATGGGTTATAGATTCCAGACTAAGTCATAGAATTTCCAAAACCCTTATTATGAAAGTTAGTGTTTTCATACAAAGATAAAACACGTCTGAAACTTCGTAGTGAAGTTAAACCAGTAAAAATCTATGTGTCTTTCTAGTGAGAAACAGAAAAATCCAGCAAAAGACATGTTAGAATCATCTTAAATTTTAACACGTGCCTATTAATTGTGGTTTAGGATAACATTTGTAAGGGAAATACAGCTGTGCTGGCTAGTTAAAAGCGTTGGTAACCTGGATGCAAGATTATCACTAATACCATAAATATTACTGTGTCTTTTGAGAAATATCTCACAGCTGAGTGTGGGAAACAAAAGAATGTATATACATACTAAAAGTCACCAACAAGGCACAGTGTTTTCTGTTAGCTGCTTTTTTATGAGATGCTATTCTGCCCACCTCCAGACCCTGCTTCTTAAGAGGGGCAACCAGTCTTGGTTCTTAAGAAGCCAGTGGACAAGGTTGCTGTATTGTCCCGAAAAAGGTCTAATCAGCTGCAAGTTCAGTGTTCCCTTGTTGAAAGTGAACCTTTTTTGATAACCTTTTTAGCAATTCCACCTTCTCATGGCTCTTTTGCTTGATGAGGCGTGAAATTTGGCTTCAGGAGGTTTGACCCCCAAAACATAAAATATATGACTCCATCCCGTTTTCCCTTCTGCGCAGCTTTGTGCCTCAAATATGACTGTTGATCTTTCCTTTATTTAATTTTCTTCAAATTAAGGAAAGAAGTAGCATACGTTTTAGTGAAAGTGTGGGTAGTGGTCTCCTTTCCCTGGCCAATTAGTTGAAATCAGGCTTTCTGATGAGGTTGGTGTTTTATTTTGAAATAATTCCTTGGGTTTTTTTTTTATTCAATACACTCTAGTACAGTTGTTTTTTTTTTAAGAGAATGAAAAACCTACCTACTTTAGCGTGTTGAAGGACAAATTACTGCAATTTCCTTGCCTATCAGTTACTGAAACAAAACTGGACTGTCAGTAGCATTCCATTTACTCTGTTGGGCAGAGCTGCTAAGTCTGTAGGTGGTTGCAAGAGGTGCAATACTGTATTTTCAATCTGTTTCTTGCCTCCCATGCTTGTGTTTGTAGGATTACTGTTTGCTTGCACCCAGGAATGTGCTGCTCTGCTTCCATTTCAGGCTGCTGAGTTTGAGCTGATTTGGGGTGATCTCGAAGGGCAATTCAAGTACAACCTTTGCTTGCCATATAGGATACCATACATTTGACTCACTAGGCTCTTAAAATAAAACATATTGTCACTCAACAGAAATATTTAAGGAGGCTTCATAGTGATCTCATCAAAGAGTTTTGAAAAACCTCAGCGAGCCTTACGTCAACTTTGCCAAGTAGGAAAAAGTGGTACAGAGAGACTACATGAAAGATATCCTTACAAGAAGGTGTTAATCTAACTTTGAAGGAAAATATTTCTCCAGATATGCTGGAGAAATTGTTTCAGACTGTTAAGTAGCAGGAATAAATATCTTCAGTTATGTTCTCATAGGGTCACTGAGATTTGTTATGGTCCGATGTATAAATGTCATTTGAACAAATTAAAGCTTCTGGATGATGCTCCCCACTTCTGCAGCTAGATTTTCCAAGAACTGGAAAAATAGAACTCTTCCCTGTTAATTGTCTTTAAGTATTTTCTTTATTTTCATCAGAAAAAAATAGCTGAGTGACTCAAGACAGGTAAAATCAGAGTCTTAAAATATGAAATCTCAAATTACACATTATTTTTGTACAAAATGAGTAAAATAAAAATTACCATGGGAGTGTGTAGTGAACTTAGCATAGTGCTTGAAAGATCAAAGTACTTGCTGTTTCATGTTGGAAGTTTCCTTAACTATGAAATAATGTACTCTCTGGCATAAATTACAGCTTGTTAAAGGGACTGATTTGGTCTGGGTAATAAACATCATGTCAAACGTTATGGTAGGAAAACCTGCTTAATATGTTTTGTAATAAGACAGAATTTTTTGTTCTTGAAAACATCTGGTAACTGAATTCACAAGTGAAGACAGAAAATGTCATCAATTCAGTAACATTCTTACAAATTTGGTTTCTATTTTGGCGGTACAAACCAAGGAAAAAACTTCTTGATAATCAGTACTGACTGTAATGCTTTTATGAATGATGAAACACAAGCAATTTAGTTTTATACAGTGTGCTAATGAATGCCTATGAATTTTAATACACTTAACTGTTGAGATTTTAACAATTATAATGCCAGCAAATCATTTTAAAAGCATCTCGTTTTTTAAGGTGTTGAATGGAGAATTGAGTAAAATAGCTAAATATGTATATACATTCTTTTAAAAAAACATATTTCTATCCTTAGTTATAAATACTACCATTTTTTCTTAGACCACCAGAGGTTGCTCTGTACATATGGGCTAATGCTTCTCCCCAGAAACGTAATACCCTAGTCTACATTCATTTATTACTGAACTAAACTGAGAATTTGTTGATCTCTAACTTTTTCCTATGGAAACAGATCATACAGGCTTAAATATGACATCATTCCTTCCACCCTCTGAGCCATCTCCCACTCCCTACAGATTTGTACACTGACAGTGTCTTCTCTATGTTAAAAGACAGTTAAAAATGTAAAGCAGTATTTATCCCCTTCTAAACAGCACTAAACACTTTAATAAGTATACTGAGTGGATTCTGAAATGTTATCAAAGGAAAAAGTATAAATTGCATAATTTTGTAGTAATAGTAATTTTTGATAACCTTGTTGCCACCATAGTTGAAGGATATCAAAGAGAAAATGAAGGAAGAAGTAGGAAGAAGCACTTTATCAAAACAACCGATGGGGTCGGGTTTCCTGGGCAAAAGGGATAAGTCTTTCCAAGGCCTGTATGCTAGGAATTTTGTCCTTTTATTTTTTTCCACTGAGCTTAGCTGCTTTAATAATTCTTACTGCAAATATTATTTTTACTACAGCACAATCTATAATAGTGCCATTTCTACTAACAGCATATCAATGAAATTAAATTAATTTTGGATGTAACATACTTTTCCTAAATAATTTTTCCCATTTTCTGTGAGAGAATAAATAACAAAAGATCATGTGCAGCTAATTAATTTGTTTTACTAAAAATGGATGCATCAGGATAATTTGTGCCAATATTTAGGAAAAAGCAGTAAAAGGCAGGTTTATTAACATACAGCATAGTACACCGCAACTGCTGGTGGGCAGGATATCCTGGCAAGCATGCAAACACATTTGTGCCATTTCTGCTTGTTATTTGGTACAGCTGACATGAAGCATTGCATAACTGAAAGTCACAGCAGAATGTCCACTTGTGTGGTGCGACCTTTCAGTGCCATGGATTTCTTTCATGTGGAAGACTGAGCCATGTGCCAGCATGGCTGCAGTCCTACCAGCTGCGGGTTTCAACCTGTGGCCATCCCTGGGCAGATGTAGGTTCCCTCCACCTACCCTCTGACTTGGCAAGGTGCAGGCCTGCTCTCATCCAGAGCCTGTGTGACTACATTAACCTGCTGCTGAGACCAAGCTAATAAGCCCTTTATTCCACCAGAGAAGACAAAATGACAAACTCTAGGCAGACAGCTCAGGAGAGGTAAGGGATATGCACAGTGCAGAGAATGTCTGTGGCAGACCTGAGCATCCGGACTCCAACTTCTAGAATCTCATGCTGATGTTAGTATCACAATACCTGTTTTGTTTGCCCTTTTACAGCTGCCAGCATTACTTTAGCTAAACCTCTGAAATAACACATGGTTTTACTCTGACCATATTTACATTTTAAAGCCTGTTACTTCCTTGTGTTCCTGAGAAATGTCCTTCACTTGTAAGCAGAAGCAAAATCATGATGGCATTAAAAAACTCAAGTTTCTGCTTAGAAACTACCATTGTATTATTATTCTTGCCCCATTCAGAGTAAGAAAAAAAATCACAGTATGCTCAGTATCATCACTGGAGCAGAAGCTGAGATACTGTTGTTATTCTCTTACGGTGCTGGTAGATAACCATGACATAAGTTTCTAACAACACCATGAAGTAAAGCTGTTTCTACCCAAAAATAAAGTGACCGTGCAAAGTTCAGGTCTGCTAGACTTAGCAAAGACAGACTGCAAAAGATGA